GCCATTCTTTACAAATAATCAAATCAATTACACGACAAACCGAAATTCCCAAATCTCATCTACGCCTTGTCGACAGAAGAATACTCCTCAGCCAGAGCTCGAAATCCCCAGATCTTCAACAACTAAAATAGATTTCAGTTCCCCCTGGAGATTTTACCAGGAATTATACAGCTGCCGATCGAGGAGTTGAAGGTAGATGCGACTTGAAGAGTTTTGAATCTTGAATTGAACGATTCTTAGTAAGGACACAGCCAATGATCCGCACGATAATTAAGAAGGAAAAAAAAAAATACAGTTTGGGATTAGGGCGAGAGAGGAATGGAAGAGGGTGAAGCGATGGGAGCGGGAAATCAAGAATCGAAGAAAATTCGAGGACTTTGGAGTTGAAGAGAATTTCCCGCCTTTTCTGTTTGGCTGCTTGAACTACCAAAAGACCATCCTGGATAAAGCTAAAGAACACCACCTTACCAAACACGCCCTAGCCCCCAACGGTAACCTTGGATTAAAATATAGATGCGAGAACGTGAGTAGGGTGACACAATCGCACTCTTAAAGGCAGCGGACTAGCGATTGTGCGGCACTCACTTTCCAACGACAAGTGAGCTGAGCCAATTTGTACTTGCGTCGCCTACGGCCAAGCGACGTATGATCGAGCCTCTAGCCTCGGTTTTAAAAGAAGGTTTTGGAAAACGAGGGTAGAGAGAGATTTTAGAAAGAGAGATTTTTGAAAGAGACGTTATATAAGCAAGCAAGAGAGAGATAACAACGGCTTAGCATATATAACCTTGGGTAGGGAGAAGTTGACAACTAGTCATATCCCCCTATATTACATTTTGAGACATTTCATGTCTGGCAGGCCTAGACATGATATTTTTGAGGCGTCATACGCCCTAGAACTATAGAAGTAAAAACACTAGAATGAAAAGACATGACAAGGGTTTGGCTTGCCATAGGCATGCGGCCATGGGCAACACGCCCTGGACGAGCATGACCGTGACATAGGGCATACAAGCTCGTTCGTTTAGGCTTTTTTATTTTTTATTTTTATTAATTAATAATTATTTTTATTATTATTATTATTTTCAGTTGAATGGACCCAGACTCTTACCGGAGGCAACCGTGAGGCATTTCCGCTACTGAAGAATGGGCGGACTACATAGTATGACTCTATTCTGGACTCAAAATATATCGATGACTTATTTTGCCCAAACGGACTTACTCGTGGCAACCTTCCAGACACCTAAAATTATAAAATTTCATGATTTAACCCGATTCGATGGAAATCTATATTTTTAGTTAAATCTATATGGGTAAAAAAATATGATTTATAGGAAAAATATTAACAAATTTTTACATAAATAAAATTAATTTTATAAATTATTTATCCTTGACTATTTTATTTTATTTTTATTAAAATAATTTATTTTTCGTTTATATACCTTAGATTTTAAGTTTATTTGGTAAAATATCTTAATAATTAAATTTTAATAAAAATATATAGACTCTGAATTATACATATTTAATACAAATTATATTAAAAAAAAGTCTTGTATATAGTAGAATAAATTATATTAAACGAGATATACTTCGAAATTTTATATTATTATAATAAATAATTAATAAAATATTAATATGTCTTAAATTCGAAGTTTTTAAAATTATTTAGATATTAATAATTATTCTCAAATAAGTAATTTTAATAAAATTATACAAAATTTTAATTATAAATAATTAATACGATCATTAAAAAAAAAATGAATAAATGTAAAATAAAAGCTAAAAAATCAAACGCGGGTGGATTCTTCGGAGACGCTAGTTTTTGACACTTACCCCAAAACAACCTCTTCCCCAGAGAAGCCCAAATTCGCTGGTTGATCAGAGTCGAGCTTCCTCTGGGGATTCCAAATTCCTAGTCCAATTTCCAAAATCTTTCATCTGAATTCATCAATTTCAGAGACATCGAGATCATGGTTTTGTCGCAGAAGCTTCACGAGGCCTTCAAAGGCACTGTTGAGAGGATCACAGGGCCTCGAACCATTTCCGCCTTCAAAGAGAAAGGCGTTCTCAGTGTCTCTGAGTTCATCGTCGCCGGTGATAATCTCGTCTCCAAGTGTCCCACCTGGTCTTGGTATTTTCATGTGAATTCTCTCCATTTTCCTGATCGAAGTTGTTTTATATATTTGTTGAATTTGTTCTTTTGCGATATTCGAAATTGATAGACGTGTTCTTCAACTGATGAATTGAACGGATGTCTCTATTAGAAGATTCTGTGCACTACCGATTATAACAATTCTCTTTTCCGAATCCTGTAATTTTTGTCAATTCTGTTTTCGAAGATACTGAGGTCGTTTATGGCTGTTCGAACGAAACCAAGGTTAATTGGTCTAGGAGGTGAGGTCTGTGCCGGTGTATAAGCCGTTTATTGTAAACTTTGATGAAGGAGGTTGCTTATCTCCGTTTTAGTGAATTGGAATGGTTGGGAAAAAAATCTTTAATGATTTGATTAAAATGCCTTCTGAATCAAAGGTTCTTGAGAAAGCTAGAGAGGAGAGTGGTACATATTGTGTGTAGAAAGGACATTAATAATAGTGATATCCCATTAGTGTTTCTTATTTTTCCTGAAACCATGTCTACGACCTTCGTTTGACATAAGTTTGTTATTTGTTTTTGAATTATAAAATTTAGAGTGGTATCCATTGCTTCTGTATGCGTACTTAGTTTTAGGTTCTTCATAGTTCGGAAGGGCAGTAATAACCCAAATGTCGACTATCCAGTGTATGTTATACATTGTCCCGTCCCTTTTTCAGGCGAAAGACAATGTGGATCTTTCCACAATTTTAAAAACTCATTATTGGTGGTTCACTTTTACAGTTGCACTCTTAATTTTCTCACCTCCTGTATTTGGAATTAAAATTTGGAAATGTTTTGAATTTATCTAATACATGTTAAAATATGTTTTTCTTTTTCATGATTTTAGGGAGTCAGGTGATCTGAATAAGAGGAAATCATACTTGCCCCCAGATAAGCAATTCTTAATTACCAGAAATGGTATAACTGCACAATCATTAACTTTTTTTTTTTTTTTTTTTTTTTTTTTTTTTTGTAATTCTAGGGGTTACAGTCAGAACCGTAATGTTTTGTAATTTTACTGTCCATACCTTGTAGTTTATGTGCTTTTGACATTTACACTTCTCCTTCCCATAATCTTCTATTAATTTATGGTCATTTATCTGAAATATTGCCATAAACAAAAAGAATTTTGCATGTTATCAGGCCTTTTTTCTAAACATTACTCTTTCTACTCATGCCTTAAAATTTAAGTAGCTCTCCACAATGAGGCTTACACTTGGCAGGGAACCTAATCAATAGAAACAACTCACGTTTCAATACCAAACATGAATTACTTTTTTCTGCAACATATAGTGCTCCTTTGAGACACGGAGTTCAAGTTTATATGTATATCTTTTCTAGAAATTAGTATTTAACCTGTAGCTAATTACCAAATTAATTCTTTGGTAACTGTTTCAGCACCGGTAAGGTCAATTATATACTTTTTGCAACTAATGATCTGGCGTTATGTCAAATATTGAATCAATTCTCGGGCATATCTAGACTTCAACTTTATTGAGTCATTATCAAAAGTAAGGATGACTGTTCACTTTCTTTCCAGTACCTTGCCTTCGCCGGGCTGCCTATGTAGAAGAGGAGTATGAAGCTGCAGGTGGTGAAGTTCTACTTGATGAGGAAGATGGCGATGGCTGGCTGGCAACTCATGGAAAACCGAAGGGTACCTTTATCTTTCAGTGTAAAGCTAGGGATTTACATTTGTTTAATAACATGTGTTCTTTCATGCAGAAGAAAAAAGCGATGAAGAGGAAAATTTGCCTTCCCTGGAAACTCTTGAAATTAGCAGGACCAAGATTGTTAAGTCAATTCCAAACTATTTTGGTGGTGAAGATGAAGATGGTATTCCTGACCTTGCTGATATTGAAGAAAATGATGACGCTCTTGCAACTGATGCAGTATGTTAATTTTTATGATCCAATTTATGAGCAAATGTGGCTAAAAAATACTCAACTTTATAGGAGGGCCTACATAACCACCGCCCTCCCATCCCCACCCCCACCCCCACCCCCACCCCCATGATCTCTTAATTTGCAAGGCATGGATTGTGGAAAATAATCTAGAATCTTTCTTGGCATCTCATCTTGTAAAAGTTTTCTTGAGTCTGATAACGAAAGTTCTTGCTTCATTATCATCATGTACACATTTACCATTTGGGATTAAAAACTCTTTATGATCATCCTGCATTGTTGTGATTTTGATAAGGTATTCATGTTCACATTTTCATTGTAGGCCACTCTGCCATTGACCTACCAAATTGCCCATGAACCTGATGACGATAATATCCTTCGAACACGAACTTATGATGTCAGCATCACGTAAGGCGGTCTCTTCTTTGTTGTTTTGTCTTTTTTGTAATTCTTCCAAAGATTCTTATAATGTATCTGTTGCATAAAAATGGATCAAAATTCTTGGGTTGGTGAAAAAATCCTTCTTTATAGCCAAAGAGGGAAGTTATGAAAAGAAAAATTGATGCAATTGGAGTAAATAGCATAGTAAGAGGGTAGTTAGAAATTTCTCAGAAATGATCCCTATATGAAGCTTGAATTCAATTTGAGTTTTTCCATAATTATTTTCCTGTCTATAAAATTCTCCACTTTCTTCTACTCCAAATCTCCGAAGCACTGCAAAGACTGCATTAATCCAAATAATTTTTTTCTCTGTGGAAAGAGTTGTAACGGATTTGGATCAGATAGCCCAGATGCGGGTTATTACTTTATGTTTGGTTTTCTTAGACAGTCATTGTTATTGTTAATCTCTTCAAAAATGATTATTAGCAAGTTCATTTGGAGCATTGGTGCACTACTTGGGGAAATCAAATCTTTGCCATTTTTGTAAAGTAGGAAATTATCAGCGTCGGACTTGGATTTTTTTTTGGGTTGGGCATATAGGTAATGTTCGTGGCTTCAACCTTAGTGGTCCTAGGTTTAAATCTTAAAAAATAGACAATACTGGTTGATGATCTTGGCCTCAATGTGAGTAGTTCTGGCTTCTTGGCCTCAATGTGAGTAGCTCTGGCTTCTTGGCATCAAAAACATTCTTGTGGCAAAAGGCTTTGGCTCAAAATGACGAAGGTGGATAAAAGGATGCATCTCATCCACAAACTTCTCTATCATCATCAATGGAAGACCGAGAGGTAAAATTTATGCCACATGGGGTCTCCGACAAGGAGATCGACTATCCCCTTTTCTTTTCATCATGGTAATGGATTGCCTCAGTTGCCTACTGACAAAAGCAAAATACGAAGGGCAGATAATATGTTTTCAGATTGGTAATGAAGGCTTAAGCATCAACCACCTTCAGTTCGCGGACGACACAATACTCTTTGTTGACTTGGCCGATGCCTCTTCCATAAAAACATAAAAAACATGATCGAGATGGTAAAAACCTTTGAAGGATTCTCTAGACAAAATATCAATCTCCAAAAAACAAAGAGCATGGGCATCAATATTAGCACAGAAATTATTGAAGAATTTTCTAGCATATATGGTTGTAAAAAGGGAGAATGATCGAATATGTACCTAGGACCAACTCAAAAAGGAAACCACAAATCTTTCTCCGTATGGGAGGTTATTATTGAAAAAATTGAAAGAAGGCTTTCAACATAGCCATCATGTTATACTTCAAAAGATGGAAGACTTCCTTAACACAAGCCACATTATCAAACCTCCCCACCTCCTGCATGTCTCTATTTGAAATACCACAAAAAATGGCTCCAGATATAGAAAGATCATTCAGAAACTACCTGTGGAAAGATGACTTACACCTTGTTGGATGAAATATTATAAACCTCCCAATAGAAAAGGGAGGTCTCAATCTTTTCTCAATAAAGAAGAAAGAACAAAGCCCTCCTCGCCAAATGGATATGGAGATATTATTATGAAGGAAAGGCCTTGTGGAGAAATCTTATAAAGGTCAAATATACTCTTACTTCAAACAAAAATCAACCCCCTCCATCTTTTACAAAAGGGCCTTGGAAGTACATAAAGAAACATCAAAACCTCATCACCAACTAAACTTGCCATAGGGTGGGTGATGGAGGAAGCACGTCATTTTGGATAGACCCCTGGATTGGAAACACCAGGCTAGCCCTGAGGTATCCACTTTTGTATAGATTCTCACACAACAAAAAAGCCAGGATCAAAGAAACGTGGAATGTTGTCAACAAATTTTGGGACCTAAAGCGAATTCAAAGAATAATGAAGCAACAAAGTGGGATGAATTAAGCCTTGATCTTGCCCTAGTGGTATTGTCAAATAAAGAAGACTCACTAACTTAGCTCCCTACACTGACAGGGTTCTCTACAAAATCCTTGATGATGGACATGAGGGAAAAAGTAGAAGCAATAAATACCATGCTAGCAAAGACAGTATGGAAAGGACATCATCCTAAAAAGGTAAAGTTTTTTCGTTGGAAAATAGCGCATAAAGCCATGACTACAAGTGAAAATCTTCGGGAAAAAAAGAAAAAAAAAAGCCTTATATCTCTCTTTCTCCACATTGGTGACCATTATGCGAGAAAGAAAGCGAATCACATAGCCACTTATTTATGCAATCACGTACGCTCAGAATTTTTGGACAACGATTCTCAATATATTCGGATGGCATCTCACATCCCTAAGGAGGTAAAGAATCTATTGGGCATGACCTTAATATACCACCCTTTCAAGAATGCAAAAGCCCTGCTATGAAAAAACCTCATCATGACTTTCTTTTGGAATCTGTGGAAAGAAAGAAATCAAAGAGTATTCGCAGAAAAGACACATTTATACAAAACTTTTTGACAATGTTGTTTACCAAACTATATCTTGGTGCAAACTGTCTAATATTTTTACTTCCTATAGTTATACCTCCCTCATTGCAAATTGGGAAGGTCTTTTGTAGGCACCATGGATACTACATTCAAAGTAAATTTCAATCTTTGAGTGAAATTATATCTTATATAAAAAGAATGCAAGTAAGGGAATAACCATAGAAAAGGAATATGCCAAAAATATATCTGCAATAGCTAATCCTATAATACTATCTACTCTTTGGGACAAAGTGCCTATCGTTATTGTATCATATCTTTTGTATGATGGGACTAAACTTGTAATTTGATCAAATTTTTTTCTATCTAATGATGCTATTTTTCTCTTATATCAGGTATGATAAATATTATCAGACACCACGTGTTTGGCTGACAGGATATGATGAGGTTTTGTATTTTTATTCTGTTTCCATTTCTAGTTTGGTAGAACGTTTGATCTTGTACATCTAATCACCATGCATGTATTCTATTGCTATGCAAGTTCTTTTTCTTACACAACTTCTATTAGCCATGGACGTATGTACTTAAATCAAATATCTGTGAACTATGTCAGTCAAGGATGCTCTTACAGCCAGAACATGTGCTTGAAGATGTTAGTCAAGATCATGCACGAAAAACGGTAAGTTGTGATTATGTAATAATGTAGTTGTGCCATCTGCAAGAAATAAATTGATCCTGATATTAGGCCCATCATTTATTCCATGTTATTTTTGTTGCAAGTCTAAATTAGCTTGCTGTTTTTCTTTTCCTTCTGAGAAAGGTACATTTACCTTTTATAATATAAAAAAAGGGTTAAATCTATGAATTATCAAATTTGGATTCTTTTGGATGCGATAATCTATAATTTTACACATTATTAAGATGACCAGCAAGAATCCCTTTTGATGCATCCTGAACTCCTATTGTGGTGTCTGGAGGACCCATGCATTTGTTTTATTGATTTGCCCTTCCGACGGTCATGTGGAACATGATTTTCCAATTATTTTATAAGTTCAATCTTTGGATACAGGTGACCATTGAGGACCATCCCCACCTACCTGGAAAGCATGCATCTGTACATCCCTGCAGACATGGGGCTGTGATGAAAAAGATCATTGATGTGTTGATGTCCCGGGGCGTAGAACCGGAAGTTCACAAGTAAGTATTTTGAACTCCTATTTAAAACAGCAGATCTAGTTTTGGTGACAATCTTTGCTTGTTCTTAACCAAGTATCTTAAGCTCCTCTACTTATTAATTGTTTTCTTCTATCTTTTGTAGGTATCTTTTCTTGTTCTTAAAATTTGTCGCGTCTGTTATTCCGACTATCGAATATGATTATACTATGGACGTTGATCTTGGAGGCCCTAGCCGTCGATAACTGGGATTGATGAATATTGTAAGCACAACAGGATCGTAATTCCTTTTCAACTTCCGGCATCTTAACATGCTTGTGTACATCCAAAGTGCTGCTTATTATTACTTCTAGCGTTTATTTGTTGGAGTTTGGTTGTGGGTCAAGTAAAATGTACTATTTCCATTTTCTCAACAAAAGTGTGATTTCTTGACAAAAGAAATAGGTCCATTGCTTGAGAAAATTCATGCAGCTACTCAATCAGTCGTACAATATACACTTTAATTTTCTTTCAGAATACGTGGGGTTTAAAGGCTCAACTGTTTGCACTCCTTAACTATATATGCTTGCTAATGATGTAGTCCATTCGAAAAGTTTTAAAATCAGAGATATTATGGCGTGTTGATTTCTTTTTTTTTTTTTTTTTTTATCATTTGTGAATNTTTTTTTTTTTTTTTTTTTTTTGATCATTTGTGAATTTGTAGCAGTACTAATAGTTGGAATACCTGATATAGCCTGATCCATGACTTGTTGACTGACATTTCGTATATGGTTCTAACTATAAAACTATATGCTGGTAATGTTGGGGCAAGTGCTCCTCTCCAGGTCGACCATGTCAACTAGTCAATAATAGACTGACATTTCTTTATTGTTTTCAATGGTTGTTACTCAAATCCGGGCTGACTCTTGAACATTTTTGAACTATGCAGGTCCGATTATACATATGTGGGGTATTTCACATCTGATGTTTCTGTAAATGCAGGCTGACACTCTGCTCATTGTACATACACAACCTGGGATCTAAATGGTACCCTCTGGATATACTTTTGTCTTTTGGAAGTCTAATCTTCCCGTTGCTTTCTGTCAGTCTTAGTTTGGGCATAAGGATTCTTTGTGATTCTCTGTAACTTAACCATGGAGCTGACACTTGCTCCTTAACTGTATTCTGCTATATGGAAATTTGTTTGCTACTGAACTATTGCAAGCAAAAAATGATTCCTCTTATTGGAAAAAAGGAAGTGATTGAATATACCACTGTTGCTATAATACCTTTTAACAAACTCTGTTCAGGTTCTTGATTTTTATTTGGTTCCCTTGCAAATAAAACCTTCAAACCTTTAAATTTAGCTTTTTTAAAAAGTTTGATTACGTCATCCAATTTTGAATTATGATTGTATGTGGAGTCCTGTAAGGTAATAAAGTTATATGGGTTTGACACGAGACGGATAGTGAAAGGAGGGTTTGGGGTTTAGGGTGAAAGGAGGGTTTGGGGTTTAGGGTTTAGGGTGAAAGGAGGGTTTGGGGTTTAGGGTGAAAGGAGGGTTTGGGGTTTAGGGTTTAGGGTGAAAGGAGGGTTTGGGGTTTAGGGTTTAGGGTGAAAGGAGGGTTTGGGGTTTAGGGTTTAGGGTGAAAGGAGGGTTTGGGGTTTAGGATTTAGGGTTAAGTGAAAGGGAGTGGTTTAGGGTTTGGAGTTTAGGGTGAAAGGAGGGTTTAGGGTTAAGTGAAAGGAAGTGGTTTAGGGTTTTGAATTATGATTCTAGTGTCAATTGATTTCTTTTTCTAATTATCCACTTTTTATACAAAACTATTAAAATCATCATTGAAAGTGGAATTTAGACCTTTTAAATTTGAAAAGTGTGATGCCCCACATTGGTTGGGGAGAAAAACAAATCACCATTTATAAGAGTGGATCTGAGTTGTTACAAAAAGCAACGTATAGATTATTTACAATGGACTCAGTTTGGATTAATTTTTCTCTTGTTAAATTTGAAAAAAATATATATTTTTATGAAAAGAAAAATGATCCAAATATTTATATACTAAACATTCAATTCCACCATGGTTGTTGCCGGCCAACGTCTTCAACAACTAAGACTTGATTTGATGTAAGACAATTATTGGACAAATCTTATGCTTCATTGGTAACAATTCAAGTTCACCACTAATAAATATTATACGTTTGAATCCGTTAGATATCAGTTTCACAATTTTAAAATACATCTACTAAAAAGGTTTTCACACTTTTATAAGGAATGCTTCATTCTCCTTTTCAACCAATGTACGATCTCAGAATCCACTCCTTTGGGGGCCTAACACCATCGTTGGTATATCATCCGATGTCTAACTCTAATACCAATAATAACAATCAAAACTTATTGCTAGTAGATATTGTCAGCTTTGAACATTATCATAGATGTTTTATCTGTTTCAATAAGCATGGTTTGGACGAGTGTCTATGTTGGGATTGAACTTGATTCCAAGTATGGAGTTTGATTTTTTCTGTACTTTGGAGTTTGAGGTGTTGTGTTGTTAGTTCAGCAGCAGTGTGGTATGTATAAAAAAGGGTTCGGTGTCAAGCCAAGCATGCAATCGAACCAAGCATCGGTCAGCACAAGCACCTGTATCGAGCGGCGTGTGTCCTCAGACAATGATCGGAGGCACTGTTTCTTTTTGCTCCATTGGGTTAGTTTCTAATTGAAAAAAAGAACAATTATATATTTTCATCACAAATATTAGAGGTGCTGAAATAAAAAGTGGAAGATTCTAATCCAGAAAACCTCTTGGAAGGTACTCTAGAATTTGTATATATACATACAAACATCTGCCAAGAACGGCCATCCAAGTTTGGACAGTTTCAAGATGTCCTTCGGTAGTAGTACCTGCAAGAAAATCCAACTTACATCAGCACCAACATAGAAATCATGCAAAAGGCAAGCAAAGAGAATCATACACATGGATTTTAATGCTGTAGATGGAGGCGTATTTTCGGAGAAGACGTTCCACGGTGTACCACTCGGAGCGATCTGATCCGTCTTGGTAACCAATACGCGGCATGTGTATTGAGGCTTTTAGAAAAGAAATGAATAACAATTTCAACAGAATGACAGAGAAACAATTGGCATATTGAGGAAACTTGATCAGATCAAAGGAACAAAACAGAAGAAAACGTGACAGGCCAGCAGGTATGCATATTCATGAACTAAATGTAGCAATGGTTACCAGAATGTTGCGACGCTGCAAATGATGCTTTTAATATGCAGTTATCCAAATCTGGAAGAGAAATCTTGCTTCTGGGGATTTTCCGCCTTGGATTATAAGATTGTACAACACCCAAAGCAACCCATTGAGGAGCTTTATCACTCTGTTCTTTGTTGTCCTCTGCATTAAGCCACAAGAAGGGAAACAAACAGGAATAAGAAGACCATTTCAGGAATATAGTCCCACCTCCCCTCGTAAGCTATTTTATGTAGGATTCTATTGAGCTTCCTTCTGTGAGCTTGTTGATAC